GCCTGGCCATTTTCAGGTCTCCTCACACTCCCTTGGTGTGTTCCTTTTTTTTGTCATGGGGTCGGGCAGAAAAACGGCCTCCCATTGCTGCCCCCGGGGCCCCGTAATCTGCCATGGGCCCCTGAAACCCCCCCTTCCCAATGCTCCCTGCCGGTCCAGAGCCCTTCCATGGGCCCCCTGTACGCCTCCCTTTGCTGCTGTCCCCATCGCCACACTCTGCCATGGCCACTTTCGGGTCTCCTCACACTGCTGGTGTTTTTTCCATTTTTTGTCATAGGGGGCTGGCAGATTAGGGGTTTCCCCCCCTTTTTGAGCTGCCAAGGCCCGTAATCTCCCCAGGGGCCCCATCCCCCCCCCGCCTCCTCAATGCGCTCCCAAAAGGGTCCACAGTCCCCTCAGGGGTTCCCTGAAAGGGGCCCCCCCATTGCTGCTGTCTCCATCCCCAAACACCCTACCTTTTGGGGGCCAATTTCAGGTCTCCTCCACTGCTGGGTTTTCCATTTTTGCCCAAAAGGGGCTGGCAGTTTCCCGGCCCCCCATTGCTGCGGGCCAGGCCCTTAATCTGCCATGGGCCCCAGTACCGCCCTCCTCATGTTTGCTGCCGGGTCCCCCAGCCCTCTCAGGGGTCCCAAAACCTGCCTCCCATTGCTGCGGGCTCCATCGCCACACTCTCCCCAAGTGCCACTTTCGGGTTTCTCCTCACACGGCTGGGTTTTTTCCATTTTTTGTAAAGGGGTGCTGGCAGATTAGGGGCCTCCCTTTTGCTGCTCCCAAGGCCCTTTAACCCCCGCCAGGGGGCCCCCCAACCCCGCCTCCTCTACGGGGGGGCCAGGTCCAAGTGTCTAAAGGGGTACCTGTACGCCGTCCCATTGCTGCGGTCCCCCTCGCCACACTCTGCCATGTGCCACTTTCGGGCCTCCTCACACTGCGGGTGTTTTCCATTTTTTTGTCATAGGGTGCGGGCCCTTTAGGGGCCTCCCTTTGTGCTGGCCAGGCCCAAAACGCCATGGGCCCCAGTCCCCCCGCCTCCTCATACTGCTGCCAGGTCCAAAGTGCCCTCAGGGGCCCCTGAACTGCCTCCCATTGCTGCGGTCCCCATCGCCACACTTTTGGCCATAAGCCACTTTCGGGTTTCCTCAAAACTGCTGGGTTTTTTTCCCCTTTTTTTGTCATAGGTTGGGGCAATTAGGGGCCCCCCCATTGCGGGCTCCCCGGGCCCCCGAAATCTCCCATGGGCCCCAGTAACCCCCCCCCGCCCCCCTCATGCTGTTTCCAAAGGCCCAAGAGGGTCTCAGGGGGTCCCTGTACTGCCCCCCCCCCCCCCCCCCCCATTGCTGCTGTCCCCCCATCGCCACACCTGCCTTTGTGCCCCCTTTTCCAGGCCCTCCCACACGGGCTGGTGTTTCCAATTTTTGTAAAAGGGGTTGCGGCAAAATTAACGGGCCCCCATTGATGCTCCCCGGGCCCCAAAATCGGCCATGGGCCCCAGCCCCGCCTCCTCATGCTGCTGCCAGTCCACAATCTCTCATGGGTCCCTGTACGGCCTCCCATTGCTGGCAGTCTCCATCGCCACACTCTGACTCTGCCATGTGCCACTTTCAGGTCGCTCCTCACACTGCTGTGTGTTCCATTTTTTGTCATAGGTGGTGGCTGGGCAGATTACGGGCCTCCTCGCATTGCTGCTCTGCCAGGTCCCGTAATCTGCCATGGGCCCCCCTAACCCACCGCCTCCTCAAGCTGGTTGACGTTTGCAACAAGGTTTGAATACAACCCTAACATAAGTTAGACCGCCTTTACGAACAGCGAAAGGCCCATCACAGATTTCCTGATGTTACAAACCATGCGGATAAAGGTACTTACCCCTGAGTAACTTAGATGTCATGCCACTTGGCATCTTCATGCGTGACACCCCATTACCTGCCGCTTGCTCAGGCCCTTTGAGGAGGCCACTACTATTGCCGTGAGTCCGCAGGACAATGGATGAACGACGTCATTCCTCTGTTATGACTAGGCACGGTCCTGGAACAAATGCAGTTTTAACAATGGCCTGTGTCAGCAGGTGCGGTTAGACGTGGCGCAGCAATCTCAACGCCCACATTACCCTGTGGGGGCAGGACAGGAAGAAGAGGAAGGAGGAAGAGGAGGACATATGGTGCTCAGGAATTATTGAGTGAGAAATGGGGTGTTTTTATTTTCCACTCAGTGGAACAGGAGTGGAGGAGCAGGAGCATATCTGGTAGAGGAGGAGGAGGAGGAGACAGAGGAACCCAGACGCACCGTGGCAGTATGCTGTGGAGATGGAGGCAGGGAGTCCCTCGCATTCCTTGGCACAAATGGCCCATAGCATGCTCGCTTGCTTGCGTAGCGACAGCCGAATAATAACCATCAGACAGAGGGAATGACTTTTGGCTGTCCACCTTGTTGGACCCTTGCTACTACCGTTCAAAAATGGTGGCCTTTTTCACACCTGCTGAGAGGGAGGCCAAAATAAAGTACTATAAAAACCACCTATATAGTCAGCTGGTCTCTGCCTTTCTGCGCCAACGTCCATCCTCAGACACTGTGGGCCCTGTGCGCTCGCGTTCCGCTGCCATGGCAGCAGGGGAGGGGGTGGGGGTGGTAGGAGCAGTGGCAGCTCCACCAGCAGCGGCTGCCTCAGTCTGCAGTCGATGATGAGTAGCTTTCTTCACCAGCGCAGTGAGGAAACTACTAACCAGCCGCAGCAGCAGCAGCATCAGGTGGACCTGGAGCAGGACCTCAAACAACAGGCTTGGGCCTACTTGGACAGCACCCTGCCAACCGAGGTAGACAATCCCCTTGACTACTGGGCAACGAAACTTGACCTTTGGCCCCAACTAGCTGAATTTGCCCTTGAAAGGCTGTCATGCCCGGCCAGTAGCGTGGCATCGGAGCGCATGTTTAGTGCGGCAGGAGGTATTGTAACTCCGCGGAGGACACGACTGTCCACCCAAAGTGTGGAGAGACTCACGTTTGTGAAAATGAATCAGGCGTGGATTAGTCTGGATTTCAAACCACCAGTTCCTGACAAAATCCGCCATGAATCATGCCCCAAACATGTGCCACTTTCAGGTCTCCTCACACTGCTGGTGGGTTCCATTTTGTCATAGGGTGCTGGCAGATTACGGGCCTCCCATTGCTGCTGCCAGGCCCGTAATCTGCCATGGGCCCCTGTACCGCCTCCTCATGCTGCTGCCAGGTCCAGAGTGTCTCATGGGTCCCTGTACGGCCTCCCATTGCTGCTGTCTCCATCGCCACACTCTGCCATGTGCCACTTTCAGGTCTCCTCACACTGCTGGTGTGTTCCATTTTTTTTGTCATAGGGTGCTGGCAGATTACGGGCCTCCCATTGCTGCTGCCAGGCCCTAATCTGCCATGGGCCCCTGTACCCCCCGCCCTCCTAATGCTGCTGCCAGGTCCAGAGTGTGTCATGGGTCCCCTGTACGGCCCTCCCATTGCTGCTGTCTCCAACGCCACACTCTGCCATGTGCCACTTTCAGGTCTCCTCACACTGCTGGTGGGTTCCATTTTTGTCATAGGGTGCTGTATGGCCTCCCATTGCTGCTGCCTCCACCGCCACACTGTGGCTCCACACTCTGGTTTTGGGCCCCCGTGACTGCCCAAATGAGTGAAGTGTGCGGTGATTCTAAGATCGACGGCACTCATCTGCATGTCATACTGACTGACAGTATTATTTCTCTTCCCCAGCAGACTCCAAGGGCATTTAAATTAAAGGTACAGTGTTCTGCACTAATATAAAGGCTCTCTGAAGCCTAGAAACACCCTTTTATAAGTTTAAAATCGCAGCGAATATATTCGCATCGAATCGAATTTATTCCTCGAATTCGCCGAATCAGCCGAATCGAATTTTTGAATACTTCGCCTCATCTCTAATCATGACCACTGAAGTGCATCAGCATGCAGGGCGGGATGGCTGTAATTTAGTCCCTGTTGAGGACTGGGTGATCTTGAGACTGTTATCTCTGTACACTGTCATCTGTTATCAGTTAAAGTTGTATTAAACCGAAAGAGCGAACATTTATCATTTATTTGTTATTTATTTCAGGTATTTTTGGTACTTAATATGGCGCCGTCAATTTACGTAGCGCTTTACATATATATTGTACATTCACATCAGTCCTAACCCTCAAGGGGCGTAAAATCTAAGGTCCCTAACTAACATTCATGCATACACATACTGGGGCCAATTTTAGACAGGATCCAATTCACCTACCAGCATGTCTTTGGAGTGTGAGAGGAAACCGGAGTACCAGGAGGATATTGTATTACAGTTTACCAATTCTTAGATGTGATGGCTGCATTAGTTTTCTTTTTTAAGCTTCCTTCCTTCTATTTTCATCTGGTAATCTAGCCAGTTAAGTCTGCTGTTTTTTTAAAAGAACACACTCTCCAGATGAATGTATCAGTTAAAGAGATAAGACAAAACATTTAAAGTGATATGAAAGGTTCACATATATTTTTTTTTATGAGAAACATGCTATACTTACCTGCTCTGTGCAATAGTTTTGCACAGAACAGTCCCCATCCTCCTCTCCTCGGGTCGCTTGATGACGCTCCTGGCCCCCCTCCCCCCTGCTGAGTGCTACCCATAGCAAGCTGCTTGATCTTGGAGCAGTTGTCTGTGCTGACTCCCAAGCTGCTCTCTGTGTGTTTATGAGACACACAGAGGGTGGCTCCGCTCACCCCCCACTTCTGCCTCACTGGCTGTGATTGAAAGCAGTGGGAGCCAATGGCTTTAATCAACCTTTATTTATTTATACAAAACCTTTATCCCAAAATAGAAAACAACTGACAATGCTGCTGTTTGCTGTGCGCCCTGTGTTCATTCATCCAGAGCGTAGCCACTCTAATACAGGAGGTGTGTTACTGGCATGATTACCAGCTGAAAACAGAGGGACAAAAGTCTAAAAAAAATAAAATAATGCAGCCACCACATATAATGATGGGTAAGCTGATATATATTACATTTTTGGTTTTGGGTTTAATATTGCTTTGAGTAAATCCTATTTTTCATTCTTTTTAGTTATGTGTGTTTTTTCACTGGTTCTATGTTAAGAGATGTAAATTGCGTATGTAATTAGTTTCCTTGGACTCGTTGCAAATTCATTTTAGATGAACACTGGTAGGCATCTTTTCAAGACCTGATCGATAAATTCTGAGCTCAATAGCACTATACAGGATATTCCTGGAAATCAGCACCTGCCTTGACACATTCCATGCTGATTGGATAAAGCTGACTGAGGGCTCGTTCACACTTGACTGTTTTACCAACGCTTGCCAAACGCCCCTATAGCGTTTGGCAAGCGTTGGTCCAGCGTTTGCGGAGCATTTTTTAATGCTCAGCAAACGCAGAATGCGCGGTTTAGCGGCGGTTGCTAGCCCTTGAAAAACGCCCCACAAACACCTATAATGAAGTTTAAATGGTGTTACCGCTCCGCAAACGCCCCACAACCGCATCGCAATCACGCCGCAAACGCCGGCCGGGCGTTTGCGGAGCGGCACCATAGACTAGAATAGGAGGCTTCAATGCCTCCTGACTCAACCAGAGGCATCCGTTTTGCCACGACGCTAGCTCTCCCGTCAGAACAGCACCATGTGCTGCAATGTGCTTCCCAAACGCCTCTCTGCTGCCTGCACACAACACTAGTGTGAACGTAGCCTGAGTGACCCATGTGTCTATATATGCTAGAGTGTTTTTGACACCCATTGGAACTATCAAAAAAACCCTAAAAACATTATGGGACTTTACTGGTACAGTATAGGACCGATTCATATTCATAAAAAACATTATGGGACTTTACTGCTACAGTATAGGACCGACTCATATTCATAAAACTGAAAATGTTATTAAGTACACCATAAAGTATGTTTGTTTAACAACAACACATGGCTAGCCAGCCCTAGTATAGCAACAGTGTTCTCTATAGCATATTGTCCTCCAAAAGGTCGACACGTTTCGCTTGTCAGCTTCTTCAGGACCATAGAACTTGGAGGCAGAGAAGCAATTGTCCTAACTAAAAAAATATATACATGGAATATCAATATTGCAAACAAATTCCAAAGAAAATACGACTATTGAAAACTGTCCTCTGCGAGCGCACATACCGGCACAGATGGGGATGCAGGACATCAGCACGCAAAGGAGCATATTTTATGAATATGAGTCTGTCCTATACTTCACCAGTAACTCCCATAATGTTTTTAGGGTTTATTTTATAGTTGCTGAGGTACAATGCAGTCTATAATATAATATTGACTCACTGGAACTAAAGAAGTGGTCCGGATGAGCAGTAAAAGGTCTTCAACATTATAGAACAAGTCCAGCTGAATGTGACTGTATACTGCTAGACATACACCCTATTGTCAGTGTCTTCTTCCTTCTCCCAGCTTCATAAGACAAGATTCTCACTTTGTCCCATAGGATGAGCCATGAATATAAAGAACAAAACATTTACAAGCTTGTAATATTATATACACAAAAATATAGAATTTCCAGGCATACCTCAAGCGCTTGATAGCGTCATCAAGCTCGTCCTGTGTGATCTCCCAGTTTCTCAGGTCACCCTTAACACACCCGCTGATGATAACAAATACCAACACCATCATGTTGATGGCTGTAAAGATTTTGTTCACTGTGGTTGACTCTTTCACGCCAAAGGAAAGAAGACCTGGAAAGGGAAAGAACTACGTATATCAGTTTGCAAAAAAGGTGTGGATTATAGAGGTTCAATATGATTTTAATTCCATCTAGGAAACTCAGCTTACCCTGAGTCTTTTTATTTTCTTTTTTAAAGCATCAGTCCAACTAAAAGCTATATTTTGATATACACTATATTGCCAAGAGTATTGGCCGACCTGCCTTTACACACACATGAACTTTAATGGCCCCCCAGTCTTAGTCCGTAGGGTTCAATATTGAGTTGGCCCACCCTTTGCAGCTATAACAGCTTCAACTCTTCTGGGAAGGCTGTCCACAAGGTTTAGGAGTGTGTCTATGGGAAGGTGTGACCATTCTTCCAGAAGCACATTTGTGAGGTCAGGCACTGATGTCGGACATGAAGACCTGCCTTGTAGTCTCCGTTCTAATTCATTGCAAAGGTGTTCTATCGGGATGAGGACAGGACTCTGTGCAGGCCAGTCAAGTTCCTCCACCCCAAACTCGCTTCTCCATGTCTTTATGGACCTTGCTTTGTGCACTGGTGTGCAGTCATGTTGGAACAGGAAGGGGCCATCCCTAAACTGTTTCCATAAAGCTGAGAACATGAAATTATCCAAAATGTCTTGGTATGCTGACACCTTAAGAGTTCCCTCCACTGGAACTAAGGGGCCAAGCCCAACCCCTGAAAACCCCCCCCCCACCATAATCCCCCCTCCAACAAACTTTACACTTGGCACAATGCAGTTAGGCAAGTACTGTTCTCCTGGCAACCACCAAACTCAGACATGTCCATCGGATTGCCAGACAGAGAAGTATGATTCGTCACTCCAGAGTCCACTGGCGGCATGCTTTATGCCACTGCATCTGACGCTTTGCATTGCACTTGGTGATGTAAGGCTTGGATGCAGCTGCTCGGCCATAGAAATCCATTCCATGAAGCTCTCTATGCACTGTTGTTGTGCTAATCTGAAGGCCACATGAAGTTTGGAGGTCTTTAGCTATTGACTCTGCAGACGGTGACTTCTGCACACTGTGCGCTTCAGCATGCGCTGACCCCGCTCTGTCATTTTACATGGCCTACCACTTGGTGGCTGAGTTGCTGTTGTTCCCAGTTGCTTCCACTTTGTTATAACACCACTAACAGTTGAGTGTGGAATATTTATTAGAGAGGAAATTTCACAGATGGACTTATTGCACAGGTGCAACCTATCACGGGACCACACTTTAATTCACTGAGCTCCTGAGAGTGGCCCATTCTTTTACAAATGTTTATAGAAGCAGTCTACATGCCTAGGTGCTTGATTTTATACACCTGTGGCAATGGAGGTGATTGGAACACCTGAATACAATGATTTGGGGGGGTGTCCCAATACATCCATTTTTAAAATCTTGCTTGCTGCATTTTTGGTGTAGGCTAAGTGCAGTAAAAAAAAACGCACCAAAAACACACCTCCCCACTAAAATCATTGGAAAAGATGACAAAAAGGCATAAAGAAGCATAACAAATGCACCTGCGTTGCTTTTTGGGTGTGTGGTTTTTGAGTCACATTTGAAAAATTCAATAAAAAAAACCCACAGCAAAAATGAAGTAAAAACGTGGCAAAAATGCATATGTGTTTTTCCCCATGGATCAGT